TTCCAGTTCTTGTAGGTGTAGAGGTAGGTTGTTTATTTGAAATGTTTCTATCTTTTCTAAGTAGGCCTGTATAACTATGAAGTTTCCTCTCAGGTCAGCTTTCACTGTGTCCCATTAGTTTTGGATTGTTGTGACTTCATTTTCATTTGTTTCCAGAAACTTTTTGAACTCTTCTTTGATCTCATTCTAGACTCATTCATTGTTTAATAGCATGCTATTCCATCTCCATGATTTTGAGTGTTTTTGAGTTATTTCCTTGACGTTGTTTCTAGTTCCAGCCCTTTGTGGTCAGAGAAAATGCTTGGTATGATTTCAATTTTCTTGAATTTGTTGAGGCTTGCTTTGTGTCCTATCATGTGGTCTATCTTTGTAAACATTCCATGTGCATTTGAAAAGAATGTGTATTTTGTTTCTTTAAGATGAAAGGCTCTATATATATTAGTTAAGTCCATTTGGTCTAGGTCATTGTTCAATGCCACAATATCTTTGTTGATATCTTGTTTGGAAGATCTATCCATTTTTGACAGTGGGGTGTTAAAATCCTCTACTATTACTGTGTTGCTGTCAATATATTTCTTGTAGTCCTCCAAGATTTTCTTTATTTGGGTGCCCCAAAGGTGGGTGCATATATATTTACAATGTTTATGTCTTCTTGATGGATTCTTCACTAAAGTATTATGAAGTGACCTTCTGGATCTCTTTTTATGGCCCTTGTTTTAAAGTCTATTTTGCCTGATATGAGTATTGCTACCCCGGCATTTTTCCCCCCTGTCCATTTGCTTGGAAAATTTGTTTCCAGCCCTTCATTTTCAGTCTGTGTAGGTCTTTTGTTCTGAGGTGGTTCTCTTATGGGCACCATATGTGTGGATCATAATTTCATATCCATTCAGCTATTCTGTGTCATTTGATTGGAGCATTTAATCCATTTTCATTTAGGTTTCTTATTGATAGGTATTTATTCATTACCATTTTACTTCCTTCATACCTGTGTTCCACTCTCTCTTACTCTTTTTCTTCCTTTTCTTAAAGGAGTTCCGTTAGCATCTCTTGCACTGCAGCTTTGGTGGAAGTGTATTCTTTCAGCCTTCTTTTGTCTGGGAAACTCCTTACTTCCCCATCCATTATAATTGAGAGCCTTGCACTGCAGCTTTGGTGGAAGTGTATTCTTTCAGCCTTCTTTTGTCTGGGAAACTCCTTATTTCCCCATCCATTATAATTGAGAACCTTTCTGGGTAAAGTAGCCTCGGTTGCAGGCCACTGGTTTTAATTACTTGGAATATCTCTTGCTAATCCACTCTGGCGTGGAGCGTTTCCATTAAGAAGTCAGCTGCTAGTCTTATTGGGGCTTCCTTATACGTTACTTCCTGTTTCTCCTTTTCTGCCTTTATGATTCTCTTTGTCTTGGAATTTTGCCATTTTAATTATGATGTGTATTCACGTGGGCCTCTTTGGGTTCCTCTTGTTTGGGACTCTCTGTGTTTCCTGGATTTGTGTGACTTTTTCTCTCATCCAATTAGGGAAGTTTTCCATTGTTACTTTTTCAAGCAGGTTTTCTATCCCTTGCTCTTCTTCTTTTTCTACTGGTATTCCTATTATATGGATATTATTATGTTTCATGTTGTCCTGAATTTCCCTTAACCCCTATTTAATGTTTCTGAGCCTCTTTTCCTTTTCTTGCTTTTTCTGGGTGTTTTTTTCTACCTGTTCTCTAGCTCGCTCATTCCATCTTCTGCTTCATCTAGACTGCTTTTGATTCCTTCTAGTGTATTCTTCAATTCAGAAATTGTATTCTTCATTTCCTCTTGGCCCTTGTTGATAGTTCAACAAGTTTCTATTTCCTTTTTCATGTTGATATAGTTTGCAGTGAGTTCATTGTAGTTTCCCTGTAGTTTTCGGTAATTCTCTGTGAGCTCATTGAGCTTCCTTATAACCATTGCTTTGAACTTATTATCTGATAGTCAACTTGCCTCTATTTCATTTAGCATTCTTTCTGAGACTTCCTCCTTACCTTTCATTTGGTGATTGTTTCTTTGCCTTTGCATTGTTGGTAAGACTCTTCTTGTTAGCCTCTGCTTCTTAAATTGATCTGTTTTGACTCTCTGGGTTTATGATGTAAACTTCTGTGGTAGGAGTCCTGTGAGATTCAATAGTGCAGTCTCCTTGATCTCGGGAGCTTGCTGGTCTTGCGCTGTCATTTATGTTGGCTCTCTGTACATCTTTGGGTTTTGATTGTTGTTGGATCTTTCTTTGGTGGATCTTCCCCTCCAGCTGGTTAACTAAGGGTCAGTCCATCCACCACAGCTTGTATTCTGTTGTGCAGGTGTGCACAGGTTGTGTTGAAGCTGGTTGTTCTCTCAGTTTGAGGTGTTGAGGCTTCTCTCTCACTATTGTTCAGTTGTTTTTTCTGGGTAATTTCTCCACCATTTGGTTGTATTTCCAGATGGTCCTGGGTGGAGGTTATTTTGGCTTCCACTCACTCCTTCACCTTTTTCCATTATTATCTGCTGGTGGTTCCCTTGTTGGTGGTTCTCTCTTTCAGCAGGTATACTGGTGTTCACAGCTCCCTTCTACACTTTTTTTTGTGATCAGTTGGAGGGGGAAGGTGAAACAGAGTAAGACAGCAGGAGTGTATTCTATAGTATTTAAAGTACCAACCCACAGAGAAGAGATTGGAGATCCTTTGGGTAAGCATAGTGTTAACCGTGATATTTCACCCAAATAGCCACTTTTTAGAAAGGGTGGAAAAAAGGTAAGACTCTTGTTGGGGGCAGGGTGAGAAGGATTGTGACTTGCATCTAGAGAGCAGTGAGCTTGTAGGAGGTCAGATTATGAGATATAGTGAGAGTAAAGGATAGAACATAGGTGTAGTGTACAAGAAAACAGAGTTAACCACAACAGTAATAAAGTTCCTGATATAGTGAAGTGAGCTACGATCCAGGAGGGGTGCTGTGTAGTATTTACAATTGTACGGAACAGCTATTATTTACAATAGTAATAGAGCAAAAATCATGTGACAGAATCTATGTGATCTGAATAACAAGAGCGGGAAGTAGACAACATAGGGTAGTACACTATTAGAACACAAGTGAAATGAAAGAAGGAAAATTAAAAAACACACTATGAAAGACAGAACAAGGGAAACCAGTCAAACAATGCAATTTAACAAACCAAATGAAGAAGACTAAACAAAGAAGAGAAATAAAAAAATACTAATAAAATAAAAAGATGTACAAATGATGAAAAAATAATAATACAGATATATGATAACTTGCAAGTTCTCTGGAATCACAAAGTGAAATTTGTCTCATTGTCTCAGTTGTTCTAATGGACCCCTCTTTGGGTCTAACTTTGGTCCTTTCTCAGCTCCAGGTTTTGTTGTCTGACTTGTGGGGACAAAATAAAAAAGAAAGGAGGGAAGGAAGGAAGAAGGAATTTAAAAAAAAAAAGAAATACGCTCTTGCTGGGTTTAATCCGGCCAAGCAAGTTCTGCTGGTCTTCCTGGCTGCAGCCAACTGAGGGACATTGGGTTTCAGTCTTGTCCCTTCCTGTGGTTTTGCGGGTATGGGCACCAGGTCTGATCAGCACTCTTCACAGTTGCCCAGTCTCAAGCCCAGTTTCTCAGTTCACTGCTGGGCCCCCAGTGCCTTTCTGTTCCAGGTCTATGCCTTCAATCCACCAGTTGTGCTATCCTTGAGGTGTACCTATTAGGGGCAACTCACACACCACCTTCTGGCTCTTTGCTGTCCTAGATGCTAGGGACTCTCAGAGTCTCTTTGGGGTAGTTTGGCTCCCCCACTGTGTTAGTCCTATCTAGGGATTGCTGACTCCCTAAACCCTGCTCTCCTGTGCTTGGGCATCTCTGCCTCCCTCTTTTGAATCAGTTGACCTGCAGGGCAGGGGTACAAACATGACTGCCGCTAAGGATGCCTCCTCTGCTCTTGCACTCAGGGAAGTAGGTTTGGCCTGTGCTGGCCTCCTCTGCTGTGGGAACAGCTGAGGCGGGGTGGAGTTTGGCTAGTTCAGCGGCACACACTGGGGTCACTGACACAATTGGGTGCACTCTGTTGCTGCAGCTGGGGAAGGGGTGCAGTTTGGTTCTGGCAGCAGAGGTGAGGCCACAGAGGCAGCACAGGCACAGACTAGGACAGCAGAGGCGGCTGCTGCAGGAGAATTCCCTAAATAGTACTGAGTGTCTCTTTATTTTCCTTTTCGAAAAATTCCTCTGATTCAAGCCTGCCACTCCAAACAAGCACCTGGCCTCTCACACAGCCCAAATCTCCAACCAGACCAGAGACTATCAGGGTCAGGGTCCATCATGGCCCAACTCTTCCTAGCTGGTGTCCACAGTCTCGGTAGGTGCACACCATCCCTGTGTGTTTGCCACTTCATCCTTATTCCCACCCCCGCCGTGACTTCAAGCATCCAGGTCCATCCTGGTGCTGCTCAAAGCTCCTTTTTTGGCAGGGAAGGGTGCCATTGACTTGGCTCTCTCTCAAGAATCCTGCAGCAGACCCAGTGGGCTCCGGGCATGGGGCTACAGCCATCCTGGTCCCCGCACTGGTCCCAGGGACCTTATTATCCTGAAGTACTCTCCTTACCGTCTGATTTTTCAATGTCCTCTACAGTTTTGGCCTCCAGCCTTCATATATGCTGGGATACCGTGGGCTGCTCACTCTGTTTCTCAGAAGATCGGCTAGGTGTTCTACCCATGTGCAGGGGGAAGTGGACTCCACCATATATCACTTACATGTGGAATCATTAAAAAAAAAAAAAAAGCTCATAGGTACAGAAAATGGTGTTTGCCAGAGATGGAGTTTCAGTGTGGGCAAAATGAGTTAAGTGGGTCAAAAGGTATAAGCTTCCAGTTAGAACAGAAATAAGTGATAGGGATATAACATACTACTTGATGATTATATTATAGCTAATAATACTGTAGTGAATATTTTAAAGTTGCTAAAAGAGTAAATCTTAAAAGTTCTCATCACAAGAAAAAAACTACGTATGGTGACAAATGTTAACAAGATGTATTGTGGTGATCATTTCATAATATACAAATATCAAATCAATATGTTGTACACCTGAAACTAATATAATGTTATATTCCAATTACACCTTAATAAAAAAATTAGGGGCATTAACAGAACATTTAATCACATTAGCTAAGTTTAAGTTTAGTCTCCAAAGAATACTTAATTTCTTTATTCTGTTGTACTGTTTTATGAAATAAGTAAATTCAATGTAAACTGCTTATTATTTTTGTTACTTATTTCAAACTATAAAGTTTGTGTATAACATTGCAAATTGATGCAAGTATCCTCTAATATAGGTCTACACTTAATTATCTATAAAATATTTATGAAAACATTACTGTTCTAATCAGGCACAACAATTTTCTTCTACTTTAAAATAAAAACTTCTAACCCAGCTCAACAACTAATCACATCTCAAATTATGGATTTGAAGAAATTAATAGAGGCACATTTAAAAAATAAATACAGTATAAAACTGCTTTTTCACTGAGTCAGTATAATTTATATTTGTTTGCTTTTATGGCTATTTGATTTGCATTGTTCTTCTGGGCAAGTTCAGTACGCAATCCTCATTCTTTAGACACTCAAAAAATCCCACAGACTTAAATTGTACGAGAACTTAATCTGATACTGTCTGCCAAAGACACCATACGTAGCACTGTAAGAAACTTTGTACTAAATTTTAACACTGCTCATTAACAGTTCCATTTTCCTGAGTTTGCGTTTGTTCTTTGGCATTGATTTAGGATATAATCCATTTTTCAGAAGGTGTTCCTTGCTGAGGCGAATTCGAGCACCATGCTGAAGCTGGAAAGAGCATAAAGCTTGAAGAGGACGAAGCAAAGTCTGTTAAGATAAAAAAAACAAACAAACCTAAAAATGTGTCTGTGACAAGTCATGGTTTTCTATCTAGAATTTTTCTTCAGAAACAAGCATGATGATGATGATAATGATGGTAATGATTTGCTCTTAACTATGAAGAGCAATAGTTACCCTAAAATATATAATGATTTCTAAATTAATAACTTATTTAAATCCATACCTTATATATACCACTAAGTAACTCCAGTGAAAAGACACAAATTGATTTTCCATATAGGTGACAAAGTCCAAATTTAGCTTTATACATAAAATAGTTAAACCCCACTAAAAGCCGTTGCCATTATAATTTCATCTGTAACAAGGAGACTGCAAGAAATTTTTAGATAATCACTATTAGTTGACTGCAAGCTTCCTGCTACCTGATAACAATTAGATGATGACAGTATGGGTAAGTAGTTTACTAATGCACAGTAGTCCATGGGCCACATACAAGTTAGATATACAGGTTTTGGTGCATTTGAAATAATTCTAACTGTATATGTACCAGTCTAAATTTAAATACCTACAGGGCCAGCCATTCATTTACTGTAAGTATGTAAATACTGGGTGGATTCATATGGTAACAGAGAATAGTGGAGGTTGTAAAAAAAAGTGGGATCATTATGCCTTTCCTAAAGTTATTCAAATTAAAAATTTTTTAAATAAAAACAATATACTAGTTTTTAATATCATACAGAAATGTCAGTGTTTTAAACACATTTTGAGTCAGATTCTTTCCTTAAGCCTGGGAACCCTTATCTAAATTTTTAAGATAACAACAGCAACAGTTGATTGAGCAGATTGTTAAAAAAAGAGGAAGCAAAAGAACAAAGGAAAAAACTGATATATTTAACTACAAAAATTTCAAAATGTCTGAAAATTTATTCCCTCACATATACAACACAAGAAGTAAAAAGGGCTTAATAGCTTTAATGTACAGTAAATTCTTACAAATTTTAGCAGTCACTGGTAGTTGCTTCTTCATAATTCATCTATTCTTTTCTTCTTTATTAAAAAATCAAAAATTTTATTCAAGGTGGCAATGTGTCTAGCTAGTAATATGACACAATCTATCCAATGAGATGTAGGCGGAAGTCCTTAAGTGGGGCTTCTGGAGAGTCTTTAAAATGGGACAGACTCAGCAGGCAGAGGCTTGCTCTTTCTTCTTGACTGGAACAGTATTGTTAGAGGTAGAATAACCTCTAACGTGTCTACAGGGCAATAAATATGAAGATTAAAACCAAATATATATGATAATGAACATAAAGACAGGAAAAATTTGGGTCTCTGATGCATCCCAGCCCTGGCAGTTCTTACTTACAGGAAAAAAAGAAATTCTTATATGGTTCAACCACTACAGTAAGTGCTCTATTACCTAAGAAAAAGACAAATATCTTGGAAAATCTGCATGACACTGCTGTAGAAAGTCCCTTAGATATGTTCTCATAATTGTCAGGATGGGCAGGGTAGGACAAGTGGGAATCTAGTTACAATTAGCATTTTGGACTACAAATATGGCCACCGTTTGGACTACAAGTAATATGGCAACTGAACTCTAACCCAGAAGAGGTGACTGACATCAGACCAGGAGCCACCAATGCTAAGTTGCTTCTTTGTTCACTAAGAACCAATCCTTGGCTCCCGAGCAAAGTCAAGCCACATAAAACTCCCAGCCTTTCCTTCTCCCGCGGTCTTTTCTTAGCTCCTTCTCCAGGTGTGGAAATTGTCGCATCACCCGGGAGCACAAATTTCCAAAATAAAGCTCATCTGCCTGTTTCCATGGCTAATTGGCTGTTTATTTCCTCGGCGGGGTCTAAGAAAACCTTACAATAATTTCTTTTAATATCTTCATTTCTTCAAACAAGAGAGAAAATGTGGAAATGACTATATATTTCTTTACAGATTCAACATATGAAATCAATGGATTCTGAATCACCTTACTTAGGAAACATATCTAGGAATGTAGCAGGGAGCAGCCAGAGGGTCGCCAAAAGAAGGATTTGTAATGGGGTCCAGAACTCAAGGTGTCCAGATTACAGGATGTCCTCACCCTCCATCCCAGGTGTGGGTTGGGGGAAGGGACAAATGAAGCAGGGCCATTGAGAGCTGTTTCCCATAGCAACAGCCTTGCAGCTACCCTCTGGTGTGGTCATTTAACATATCTATGGCCTTTGGCTGGTTACATAGATATGTTAAATAGCACTGGCCAAACTCTGAGCCAGGGAAATGGAAGTAACTCCCCCTAGTTACAGCGCCTGCACCTGCATAAGAACTTGGAGATGATTGGCTCCATAACATGGGGCCACGCCTGCCCAGACTCAAGAAGGCAGTTCAGTAAAGCCAATAGGATATAAGTTCTGGCATGTGAGGCTGAGTGTGGGAGGAGTCGGAAATGGGGCTGCAGTGGAAGATTGGCGCAGGGATTTAAACTCAGGCTTGGCAGCCTTTGGGGAGAGAACCATGCGGTTTTAGCAGAGTGGGGACTCCTGCAGCCACGCAGACACCGCCCATAACGCAGCCACTGCGGCTCCTCTACCACCTGGCTCTGAGCCCCAGCCGGCTCTGCAGCAGCAGCCAGGAGAAGGGGCCACCAGTAAGTGACTCAGGAGCACCGGGTCACCTCCCAGCCGCTGCAGCTGCCACCACCAGGCCTCCGCTCTCTGCGCTCATGCTCTCACTGCTGGGCCTCAGCCAACCTTGAAGCTACCTGCTCTGGGCCACCTGCTCTGGGCCGGGGCCAGGACACGATGAGCTCCACACTAGCCCTCTCCGCACTGCTGCTGCTGCTGCCACTGCTGCGTCGCTCTCCCAGAAAGGGGGGTCACCCCCGCCCCCCGAAGCCATGAGAAGAATCACCATGGGGCTTCAGCAGAGAACCACCACGCTTCAGCTGGAGATTCCGTCAACGCAGCCAATGGTGCTGGGAACTAAAGAAGGCCTACCAGCTGAGCACAAATTACTGGAAAGAACTGGGTGCTGCCTGAGCCATGGACTTCTTTTTCTTTTCCTGAGATATGGTACCCCAGACTGGGCAAAGAGGGGAGGGAAGGACTGTGTGTGTTTGTGGGTGTTTCAAGGCACTTTGGGATTTTGACAAAGACATTAAGTCATTACTTTTAGTCTGTATAACTCGAATAAATAACCCCTTCCTTTTTCACCAATCTCTAGCATGGAGAGCTATAATTCTCTGGCTTAGGGAAAGGTGAACCTAGTACAGGGGGACCCCAGGAGAAATGGGGATCAGTTCGGTAGCACTGTGGGACCCTCTTCCCTGGTACCCAATTGGGGAGGATCATGGGAAACCACATGCACAGTAGCTTTAAAGTAATACAACTACTTGTACTTGCGCAGTAAAGTCCACCAAAACTAGCCAGAAAGGATCTGCCCTATAAGAATAGAGTCCCTCCAGCCCAAGAGGTCAATCTCTGCTTGGAGTTGGCCTGCTCCCATGTTCTCTTCTATGAACTCTGGGTGTTCAGTTCAATTCTTTGTCCCGATCACTAAGAACCTGGTTACCTGTGCCCACCTGTGACAGGACCATATACAGACTGAGACAATTGAAGGTTCCATTGTAATTTTGACATCAAATTCTTCATGGACAGGAGAACACTAATATTCCTATGGTTAAGGGCCTCCAACTTTAACCTCCTGAAGATACGCATCTATTAATTTTCTGAGGTAATTAAGAGAAAGAATTTTGGAGATAGATCTGAATGAGATTCCTCGCTCCATCTCTGTGGTCATCACTAGGGCTATTCACAAATACTCCAGTGCTCCCTGGTACATGATCAGACTGGATTTTCTAGCCCCCTTTGAAGTTAGGCATGGCTATATAAGTAGCTTTGGTTAATGACATGTGAGCACAAATAATGTGTGCCACCTCTGGGTAGAAGCTTTACACTCAGTATATGATTCACCACCTCCCCTTATTTTTTCCTTGAAGGAAGTAGAATGACATGCCTCAAGAATACCTCCATCAGCTTGGGTCCCTAAGTGATTGCAATGAGCAGAGATCCTCCTGGAATTCCCACTGGACAGACAACATTGGAGGCATAAACCTTTGTTGTACTATGCCATTCTTTATTTGGGGTTTTAAATTACTGCAGCCTAATCTGCTTCATCTTTTTTTTAAACTTATTTAGGTGACATTGGAAAATGAAATTATACAGGTTTCAGGTGTACAATTCTGTAACATATCATTTGTATATTGCATTGTGTGTTCATCACTCCAAGTCAAATCTCCTTCCATCACCATTTATCCTCTGTTTACCCTTTTATCCTTTTTTAACTCCTCCCTCCCCACTTCTCCTTTTGTAATCACAATGCTGTTGTCTGTATTTTTTTAGGGTTTTTTCTTTTTGGGGGGGGCTTAATTCCTTCACCTTTTTCACACAGCCCCACAACCTACTCCTCTGACAGCTGTCAGTCTGTTCTCTATAAGTCTGTTTCTATTTTGTTTGTTTATTTTGTTCTTTAAATCCCACATACGAGTGAAATTATATGGTATTTGTCTTTCTCTAACTGGCTTATTTCACTCAGCATAATGCTCTCCAGGTCAATACATGCTGTCACAAAGGGTAAGATTTCCTTTTTTACAGACAAGTAGTATTCCATTGTGTAAACGTACCACAGCTTTTTTATCCCCTCATCTCCTGATAGACATGTGGACTGCTTCCAAATCTTGGCTATTGTAAATAATGCTGCAGTAAACATGGAGGTGCATATAGTCTTTTAAATTAGTATTTCAGATTTCTTCACATATATTCCTGGAAGTAGAATTGCTGGGTCATCATAATCTAGCCTATCTTAACTGATGTAATCATGTACTAGTTATATGTCCCCAGACATAACCTCTCTTTGCCTCATTTTCTTCATTTTTGAAATGAGGAAAATAATGTCTACCTTATAAGGTTGTTATTAAGGTACACTAAGATGATACATTAAAATGTTTGGCATACTACTTGATAATAAATGACAATATTTCTATAATATATCTGAGGCAATGTGAAGCTACGTGAGACATGAACTTGTTCCGAGGAACAAAAAAAAATCCTCTTATAAAATTAGCAAGTTACAAAAAGGTTACTTGAAGGGAATGTCAAAGTTTTGTAAATCCTTTTGTCTGTAGGTACAAAGTGAGTTTTCACAGGACCATTATTACCAACTACTGGTGTTGAGTAGAGCTAAGGCCCTTAGGCTATGGAACAAAGCTTTGCCACATCTAGTTATAAAAGTTCACAAGGGCCCTGGCTGGTGTAACTCAGTGGATTGAGCACAGGCCTGCAAACCAAAGGGTCTCTAGTTCAATCCCCAGTCAGAGCACTTGCCTGAGTTGCAGGCCAGGTCCCCAGTAGAGGGCACATGAGAGGCAACCACACACTGATATTTTTCTTTCTCCTTCCCTTCCCCCTCTCTAAAAATAAATAAATAAAATCTTTTTTAAAAAAGCTCACAAGGTAAAACTTCATTAAGTATTGATAGCTCTGTAATAAAAAAAATTCCCAAGCTCAAGGCTTCCAGGGTATAAAAAGCCCTAGTAAATATTACTGTAGTTGAATTAAAATCACCAACTTTCAGCTCAAAATTTTTGTCAATCCAATCAGCAAGGCAAGAAAGGGCAAAAGGATTAACTATTTGAGTGTCTGGTGTCACGCAGTTAACACACATTATCCCATTCAATTCTCACAACAATACTATGAGGTTAACTATTTTTATATTATAGGTAAGAAAACAAGCACAAAAAGATATGAATTGCCCACTGGCAAAAAGGAATGACGATAAATAATGAAGTTTTAATTCAAACTTAATTCAAGACATATCGTGCTACTTCAAATGTTTGAAAAACTGCTCAAGAAAAAAGGATGAGGGTGAATCAATAGACTAAGAAAGCTATTATTTTCAGGAGCCCTACCTATACAAAATGAAGCCAGTTGAAAAATTACTAATTTCCCCATCATCTTAAGGTTTTTATGATGATGCTACTAATTAAACGTTATTGGGAAAAAATGTATGGTATAGATTTCCTTCCTAGAAAAAAAAGAAAACACCTATGATTGGAAAAGACAGTATTTGTGTTTCTCAGAGGAATGAACCAATTTTTTTTATTATAGCTAGATTTGACTAGGCTGAACTTGGGGTTCTCTCACTAAGAAAGCTAAATTTTTGCCATCTATAATAATAAGTAACTTGGGATATTTCATTATGCATTTCTTCAGCTCATATTCCAGCCGACTATCTTATTAACACCTCCCAAATCATACATCTGATTGTCAAACATCCTTTTCCTACTCCTGATGACTATTCCTGCAGACAAAAGCAACAAGAATGAGAACTCTAGGACCTCACCATTACTTGGGGATTTTATGTTCAATTTTATCCATAGATAACAATAACAGAAGCTGAAGACATGAAGGGTCATGTCTGCATTCTGTATCTTAAACTTTATCTTTTTGTCAGATGCTATACTCAGAACATAAGATAGGTTTCGTGCTATGATGGTACATTAATTAATACCAGAATAATATGTGTTACAAAACTGGGAAAAGGAGAAGCAATAGCGGCATTAGTTAGCAGTAGCACTAGTACAAACCCTATCCTGAACCCAGCCCTATTAGTTATCAAACCATCAATACCAACATTAAAACTTGTGTTTAGGATTGTAGTAAAGATTGAATTCTAATTGTGAGAATAAAGGATGTCTGTCCATAGAGGATTCTTTTCAGAACCCAAAAGGTGAGGAAAATTTCAAACCTTGAGTCAAAGAATATATTTTTCCCCTCAATATCTGAACTTTTAATGGGTCCTTGGTCTGATGGTGGCTAATCATAGAGCTTTCCATTAATAACAAGGAAAACAGAGACTGTATGGGAAACAAGCTTAAACAATATTAAGACACCTAAATACAGTATAGTTTTTTTTTGCTCTCTCATGAAATTATAGAAATAATGGTAAATAGGGAAAAAAAGACAAGTACGGTAGTATATTAAGTGTTATATGTTGATGGTCAGGTACATAGAAGAACGTAAGAAGGTTAGAATGGAGGTAAAAAAGTCTGAAAACACTTCCCAGTCATTTGGGGTAAGGATCTAGGGTCCCTCATGAATATTTTTCTCAAATAAGAGGAACAGAGAAAATGAAACTGCCTAGGTCCAAAACAAAGTCAACTTACATTGACACACATATAAAGAAATCCTACCCATGAAAGCCTACATCTTTCATCAGAAGAAATGTCTCCAACTCCGGCATTTTCCGTGTCTTAGGATAGAGAAAAGTAGAGGCAAAGACAAGTAAATGCTTGCTCCTGGCCTTCTTTAATTCTCCTTGCTCTGAAAGCCTTTTGCTGTTCTGCTTGGTAACTAGACCAGTTACTCTGACCTGAGCTTTTATCCATTATTGAAATTCCCTTCATGGCTAAGGCACCTTCTTATATAGTAGTAACTACAGTGTATAGTGAGTGAGAGATAGAGAGAGAAAGAAGCCAGGAGAGAATACTTGGTGTCTGTGTGTGTGTTAGTTAAAAACTTCATTTAGTTATATTCATTATCCTCTGACTTTTTTTAAGTTGTATTTATCAAAACATTTCAGTGATTAAAAAACCCTAACAACAGCCCTGGCTGGCATAGCTCAGTGGATTGAGCGTGGGCTGCGAAACGAAGTGTCGCAGGTTCGATTCCCACATGCCTGGGTTGCAGGCCATGACCCCCAGCAACCGCACATTGATGTTTCTCTCTCTCTCTCTCTCTCTCTCTCTCTATCTCCCTCCCTTCCCTCTCTAAAAATAAATAAATAAAAATCTGAAAAAAAAAAACCCTAACAACATAAGTTTTATTTTGCCTTTTTTTTTTTTTTTTGCTAGAAGTGCAAAGTTTCTTACATGTTCCAAAGTTTGGTATGTTAATGAGCACAATAAAACATTATTCTTTAGTGATGATTATTAATTATATATGAATCATCAGGCTTTCATGGAAAATAAAATGATGATTGTGGGTTATAATCTTTTCATTTATGCAAGTGTTTTTGTCAAAAAGTTTTATATTTTTTACACTTTAAGCATGGTTGATAAGAAACAGGAAGTTGGTATAACTCCTCAAATAAAAGAAACACTGCAAAAAAAGATGTCCTTCTTTTAATTAAAAAGAAAAAGTTGTGTACAAAAGAATGCATATTAAAAAGGAAATACAAAACACTAGAAGAAAAATCTAGTTCCCCCTAAAATCTATATTTAGTGTTGTGATACTTAAGTATAATTTAGCATATTGCAAATGTTTTGCACAGCTTAGAATAAATATATAAATAATTTTAAATAATGGGATCAGGAATGCTAAACTAACAGAAAAACACCAGAGATGAAAAGGTTATAAACATACATAAATCTCTATCACAGATACATTCTACTTTTCACTTGAACTACAAATTTAACAAGCTGTGCGTTTGTAAATTTTCTACATAAAATCTAACTGAACTCCTACTTTCAAAAACTACATAACCTTCCAAAGTCATACATACCTCTTGTATGTAATTATTTTTCTCCAAAATGGAAAGAGCAACAGCTGCACATTCCAGAGTAGACAGGCATCTATTAGTTGGTTGCATCCGAATTACATACTGACTGGAAATGCTAGATTTCAACTGCACCTGAAACCAAAAACAGAGTAGAATGTAATATTTGTATTAAAATTAAGCTATAAAGTCTGTGTTTTAAATACTAATTACTTTAATTTCCTTACAAAATTGCCAGTTTAGAAATATTAAATGTACCAATATTTTCTATACATAATGTCCTCATGTTATTGTCAAATAGTAGAACAAAGAGGATATTTTCACATATATCTGACAAAGAAAATATATTCAGAATGAACACAAGTTCCTAAAAATCAAAAATGGATTGGCTAATAACCCCCTCTTAATGGGTGAAAGAACAAGATATAAGAATGGCAAATAGGTATGTGTAAAAGGGCTAAACATGATTTAATGTAAATTGAAATCACGGTAATATAACATTTCATACTTACCAGGACAGTTAAAATCAAAATTACTAACACCACCACATGGGGAAGATATGGGACAAATGAAACTCCTGTACATTGTAGTGAGAGTGAAAATGGTTTAATCACTTTGGAGAATTTATTTTATGGTTTATCTTGCCATTATTTCTTAATGTAAATTGATAAGTGTATGTCTGTGTGGGTGTGAGTGTATATAAACATAAAGACATACACACATACACATTATGTATAGATATATTTCTTTATCCATGAAGATAACATTTTAACTGAGACAATGACTGAGTTGGACATGAGAAAGACAATACAAATGTGTCAACAATTTGGCCTTTACATTCCTATTTTAATTAAATGAAATTCAAGTAATCTTATGCTCATAAAGCCATATTCCTAGCCCATACTCTAAGAATCACATTTAAACATGTGTGGATAGGTGAAAATTTCAGTTTTTACTAACAAAATATATAAGAATGGGGGTTGAAGATAGTGGTGTCTAAGTATTAACACATAGCACCTTCCTAAAGTCAGGTGTTTTCTCTTATTTTCTAGTACCTCTAAAGTCCCATGAGTCTCTCTTTCCTTTACACCATTAAAACTTTATCACCACTGCATCTTGTCCCTCAATTGCTTCCATCCTTTGTTTCTCATTCAGTCCCCCAAGGATGAGAAACATGGGTCTTTAATAAAAGTGCTTTTTGTTCAAATAATTCTCCTACAACTTGTTTCCTTGTTTTCCTCAGACAGAGGAAAAGAGAAGAGGAAATGAGGAGGAAAGAAGGTGAGAGGGAGAGAGAAAGAAAGGGATGGAGGGAGGAAAGTAAAATGGGTATCATAAAAGATTCACAACAGAATGTATTTGGTTTCAGAATACATCCTTTAAAGCATGCTTGACTAATAATGTTTTCAATACCATCATATTAAAATTATTCTGCATTTCTACCAATAGACAAGATGAAAAATAGATGCACGGAGGAAAAAAGATGAAGAAAAATGATTGAGAAACAAGTATAATGCTAAAAGAAAGCCTATGATTAACTAATTGTAAGAATAATTCATAATGTTGATTAACTGTAATTACTGATGGTTTAATATTTCATCAGGTCTATCTGTATAGACAACTACTATTTTAATACTCCATTTCAAGTCACTGGACAAATTTATAATAGACATCTGATTACAGCAAAACCTTTGGAAAACATGCAAAATTCACAGTAAATTTTGTTTATTGGACTGAGTTTGATTTTTACAAGAAGTTTCTTATCTCAAAGAGTTATTTCATTCTTATCGTGACCCACATGGCTATATGACAATTTAAAATTTGAAACTTATCATATGTTACATTTCAGAATATCCTATACAAATCGTCTCTCTAGGAAATATCCAGTAACCAGATATATTAAAAGAGTGCATAATATCTGTCATATTATTAATATACATATTATTAGAATATGCTAATATGATCTCACAGCTCCTCCTTCTATGCCTATGTGCTAGTTCACTTTCATCCATATTTGATTCAATGAGTAAATGAACAAGTGCAAAAAAGGAACACTGTTGATCCATCTTTTTGAGAAGCCACAGGCATCATAACACATAATTTGTTGGAAATTACCTTATCTTCTTGAATAAAACTTTAAGAAAATCCAAGGCAAAATTACTCAAAGAAAAAAATTAACATATAGTAACAGGTTGGTATATAGGAATAAGATTTATTGAAAGACCAGGATTATTATAACAAACCTGACAATAATTAACCAATCAATCTCAGTCAAGTAATTTAGTTTTTAGTTTCTCCTCTCCTGCAGAAATCAGACACCTGACCTCCACTGTAGTTGCAGCCAGTCTTTGTAGCAGATCAGCTGAGGGTCAATACCTCACAGTAACATAGCAACAGCAATTAAGGCTCCGCTACAACAGTGGAGTACACACAGCCCACAAGGAGGGACACACCTAGCACACCCAGCTCAGGTGACTGGGAAGGCTGTGCCACTGGGCCCGACAGGACACCTACTGTATAAGGCCACTCTTCTAGCCCAGAAGATGTAGCAGCTCAACCTAATGCATAGAAACAAACACAGGAAAACAGCCAAACTAAGCAGAAAAAAAAAGGTCCCAAATGAAAGCACAGGAGAAATCTCCAGAAAAAGAAATAAATGAAATGGAGATAGGTAAACTACCAGATACAGAGTTCAAAACAATGGTTACAAGAAAACTCAAGGAACTTAGTGAGAAATTCAACAGCCTAAAAAGGGCATAAACACCATAATAAAAAACAGCCTGAAACAAAGAATACACTAACTGAAATGAAGAATACATTACAGAGAATCAACAGATTATCAGCAATTTGGAAGATAAAAAAGCAGAGAACACCCAATTGAAAGAGCGAAAAAAAAAATATGGCTTTGGGTTTAACATTTAAGTCGTTAATCCATTTTGAATTACAAGGCTTCCAAACTTCAAATCAGCTAAGATTCTGTTGCTGTTCCTTTTGTGTTCTGGATGATCAGCTAAGTGCCCCAGTTGGGTTCATGAGCAAGTAGGCTCAGCTCCTACCTACTTTGCCATCTTCTTCTGCAATAAGTAATTTTTAAAAGTCAGAAAGTTGATTAAAGCTAGCAGTAAAAAAAGAAATTAAAAGAATGTTAATAGATCCCAACAATAGTCTCTACTGTGCTACTAGGTGACTAATCTTTCCTATCTGTGTAAGTTTTTTCTGACTTAAGAATATGTGTGGATGTACTCCGATTTTTATAATATTGGGTTTTCTGCCTCTTACTGATTTATATTTTAGATAATGACATTATTACATATTTATATTGCAAGTATCTGGTCAAATTGCATTTCACTTTCCTAAAATTTTTTGATAACTAGAAATTCATACTTTCAATAAAATATAATTTATCAAACTTTTACTTTATGGTAACTACTTTTCATATTGTGTTTAAAAAAATATTAAACACCAAAGTCACCTAAAAGAAGGAGTGATAATTGAGCCTGGCAGACACACAGGGCTTGGAAAGTGCCTATTCCAACCAGCCAGACTAGGCAATCTCATGGCCCATAAGGTACTGAGTAGAGTACACAGAAGGATTTTTCCTCTATACTTGAGGAATAGACTGAGCACTTGAACAGTATTTATACATTTGTATTTACTTGCTTCCTCTTACATATCTGCGATCATTATGAGATTATGCCTGAGACAGACTACAGGAGGATGAGAAACAAGTGGAATAGAGCTTAATCACATTGGTAACCTATCCAAGAGCCAGTCCCAAATATAAAAGTGAGGCAAGCCAAAGCAGCAGAGTTGCCTATGGGATACCCAGGTAATCCTATGAGCAATAAACTTATTGTTACATGCTACTAACATATTTATGGTTGTTTATTGCACAGAATTAATGCAACAATAGATAACTGATACACGGTATAACTTTCAAATGACAAAAAAGATTTTTGGTCTTAAAAATGATCAGAGCTTTGCAATAATTCAAAATGAGATCTTCTGCTATGTAAAATAAAAGTGTTGAGGGGTCTAAGATGGTGGCAAAATAGGTGGGAGCAGAGTCCACTTTCCCCTGAGCACAGGTGGAACACCTAGCCGATCTTCTGAGGAACAGAGTGAACAGCCAATGGTATCCTGGCATATGTGAAGGTTGTGAGCCAAAATTGTAAAGGACATTAAAAAATCTTATGGTAAGGAGAGTGCTTTGGGATGATAAGGTCCCTGGGACCAGTGCAGGAACCAGTGCAGGAACCAGAGTGACTGCAGTTCCACATCTAGCACCTGCCAGGCCACCCGCAGGATTCTTGAAAGACAGCCATGCCAACAGCACCCTCCCCTGCCAAACAGGGAAGTTTCAGCAGCACCAGGATGGGCATAGATGCTTGAAGTCAATGGAGGGAATAAAGACAAAGTGGCAAATACACAGGGGTGCTGTGCACCTACCGAAACTGTGGACGCTGGCTGGGTCTTTACCAGAAAAATTAGGGAGTCAGGTGACACCTGGACAAGGGAGAGGAGTTGGACCTTAAGGGACCCTGAGCCTGATAGTCTCTGGTGTGGTTGGAAAGTTGGGCTGGGTGAGAGACCAGCGCTTTTTTGGAGTGGTAGGCTTGAAAAGTAGAATTTTATGGGGGACCGGGAGTGGGAACGGCTCCTGGTGGCTATTTAGGGAATTCTCCCACAGAGGAATATTTCCACAGCAACCACTCCCACCTCCCCCAGTTGCAACCCTGCAGCCTCTGGAGCCTCTGCTGCAGGTTCGCCCCTGCCACTGGGACTGCAGCCCCTCCCTACCCTCCCCGCAGCTGCAGCAGCTAAGGGAGCCTGGCCAAGCCCACAGCCCCAGCAGCGCATGCAGGACCCACCCTCTGCCGCAGCTGAGGAGGCCAAGTGACCACTCTGCCACCCAAGAGTCATCACTGACCCCTCCATGCCCGTGGCTGCACCCACTGTTGCCAACCCCCCCACTGCCTCCACCGTGGTGGTCGTGCACCCAACCCAGCAAACCCAGCGCAACCAGGCACCCGATTCCACCACCCCACATTCCCACAGGAACAGAGAGAGGCCATGCATGCATGCCCACTGCCCCAGAGAGGATTACCACATCCTCTACTGCAGCCACTGAGGAG